ACCCCTCTCGGTTACGAGGTAACCGAGAAATTCGCCCGAGGGCACTCCGAAGGTGCATTTTGCGGGGTTTAGTTTCATATCGTATTTGTTGAGGATATCAAAGCATTCTTTTAGGTGGGAGATGTGATTTTCCCCAGCTGAGGATTTAACCAGCATATCGTCGATGTATACCTCCATGGTTTTTCCGAGCTGTCCGGCGAACATTTTGTTCACGAGCCTTTGGTAGGTAGCTCCTGCGTTTTTTAATCCGAATGGCATTACCTTGTAACAGTAGGTCCCGCGCTCGGTTATGAATGCGGTTTTTCTTGATCCTCAGGATTCATCATGATTTGATTATATCCCGAGAAGGCATCCATAAAGGACAAGAGCTGATGGCCAGCTGTCGCCTCAACGAGGCGATCAATGTGAGGTAACGGGAAGCTATCTTTGGGGCAAGCCTTGTTTAGGTCGGTGAAATCTACACAGATTCTCCACTTCCCGTTTTTCTTTTTCACCACTACGGGGTTAGCCAGCCAATTGGGGTAATGCACTTCTCGAATGGACCCTGCTTTCGTGAGTCGATCTACTTCGTCGTTGACGGGTTGGGCTTTTTCGAGGCCTAGCTTACGGCGTTTTTGTTTGATCGGTTTGAAAGTAGGATCTACATTGAGCTTGTGAGTGGTGACGTTTGGGTCTATACCCTTCATGTGGCTGGTGGTCCATGCAAACGTTTTGACGTTGCTTTTCAGGAAGTAGATTAATTCCTTTTTCATTTCGAGAGGTAGCTCTGATCCGATGTTCACTTGTTTCTCGGGGTCAGAGTCGTCGATGCTAACTCGTTCGGTTAGGTTCCTAGGGGGACCTCGAATATTTTGTTGCATCTCTCGACCTTCCTGGATCTGTAATTGCTATTGGGGTGATTCCTTGAGGATTCCGAATCCTCCCAAGTAACAGATCCTGGAGATCTTCTGGCTACCTCGTACGGTGGTTATTCCGTCAGGTGTTGGAAATTTCACGCATTGGTGATAAGTGGAGGCTACTGCCTTCATCTTATGAATCCAGGGTCTTCCTAGGATCGCATGAAATGGAGAGGGTCTATCGATGACTACAAAATTGGTCATTTTCATGATTCCTCCAGCTATNACTGCCTTCATCTTATGAATCCAGGGTCTTCCTAGGATCGCATGAAATGGAGAGGGTCTATCGATGACTACAAAATTGGTCATTTTCATGATTCCTCCAGCTATGACCGGGAGCTTGATGGTTCCCAAGGAGGTAACTGTTTCCCCGGAGAAGCCTACAAGGTTAGCTTTCTGACCAATAATTTCGTAGTCATCTATTTGCATCCCTTTCAGGGTGTTATAGAAGATAAGGTCGACCGAGCTTACGGTGTCAACCATCAGCTTAGGTACCTCGTAACCTGCTATATTCACAGTGACGATTAAGGCATCATCGTGAGGTCTGTCGAGATCTGATGTCTTGCTTTCCCAGAAAGAAATCTTAGTGTTGTATTCGGGATTGGGAGGCTTAGATTGAGCATTAGAAACAGCCTTCCGTACATGACTCTTGATTGAATTAACGGAGTCTTGACATATATCGGAGCCTCCGAGGATATAATCCACCCTCGAACTGGGGCTCAACTGAGGTGGCTGTTTGCTTAGGAGGGTATCGATTTGTAGACTTTTCCCTTGGGGAAATTTCCCAAGAATCATGTCAACTCTTTTCTTGGGAGCTGGCGGTGGCGAGTCTGTTTCCTTCTCAGGTGATCTTTCACGTTTTGGAGAGGTGTCTCTGGGACCTCTTTTTTGGTAAGGAGGTGGTTTTTTGAGTTCCACGTCCTTTAGCTCCCCAGCTACGAATTTAGCTGCCAACTGTCGTTGGAGGTCCTAACATTCCTCGGTTGAGTGCCCTTTTCGATCGTGGTAAGAGCAGTGTTTGTTCTCATCGTAGCCTTTTGACCAGGGGGTTTTGCTTGTCGCGGCAACAGGTTTTTCCTACTGGACTTCCTCGACAGCATAAGAATGTTCTCCCTGGGTCTGGTTATTCCGGGAGCTCCCTTTTCTAGAGGATCCTTTTGCTTCCGAGGTTTCACCTTTCGGGTGATTCTGGGATTTCTTATGGATTTTATCCAGTGCAGCTGTTTCCTCTTCCAAGGTAATGTATCTCGATGCTTTGTGAAGGGCATCACCGATAGTTGGGCGAGGGTTAAGCGTTAGCTCGGACCAGAATTCTGATTTGTACCAGAGACCTCTTCTAAGGGCTTCGATGGCAACCTGATCGTTGGGATTCAAGAGCTTAGTTCTGACTGCTCTGAATTTCTCGATATAGATTCGTAACGAATCTCCCATTCCTTGCCTGATTTTACAGAGGTCTGCCTCGGAAGCTTGCTTGAGGATATGGGTTGAGTATTGCTTCATGAAGGCGTTGGTGAGCTGGTCGAAATTATCTATTAAGTTCGGCTCGAGGCTTGAAAACCATTCGAGAGCTATTCCAACCAGGTTCTCAGCAAAGGTTCTGCAATAACCTGCCTCGCATTCTTCTCTTGTGAAGTGAGCTTTCACTATAGATAATCGGAAGGCTCTCAAATGAGCCTTAGGGTCTGAGGTCCCATCATATTCGGGGATCCTAATATTTCAGGTATCTCTTATATAAGAGCTAGCGATTTTGTTTGTGAATGGGGTTCCACGGGTTTCCTAAATCAAGCTCTCGATTTCGGGAGCTGAGCTTGTTGCTTTGTGTAGTTGGGCATTCAACTTTTGGAGAGCTGCGTGAGTTTGCTCCATGTATCGGCGAATAGTCTCAGGTCCTTCTAGGGGAAGGACGGTTGGGTCGTCATAATGAATCTGATGAGGAGATTCTTGACGGAGTCGAGTGTGGTCGTTCTCCCAAGCATTAGGTGGGCTAAATCGCTCGCTAGCTCTAGGGCCATTTTGAGGGATGCGACCAAGGGGGTGAGTTGTAGGATCAGCTTCTGTCCTCTGGTGGCCGTCTCGATTTGGGATCGCGCTCCCATTTTGGTAAACTGAGGCTGGTGCTCTTTCCCTAGGAGGGAAAGATATTCCTTCTCCGGACCTAAAAACAGGTGACGGAGGCGGTAATCGTGTGCTCTGTTCGGAAACCCTATTGGGTGCAGAGCTTGTGGTTGCTACGTTACTTCCCATAGCGCTAGTTACAGGTGGACTGAACGCTGGGGTTGTCCCAGTATGAGGTGTCCGGAGAACAGGTTCTTGCCCATCTTGAGCAGTGCTGTTTGGGGAGAAATCCAGGCGTCCGCGAGGGAAAGTGGATTCGGTTAGTCGGTCTCGGAAGGTGACTCCCGATCCTTGACGTTGCGACAGATGAGTCGTCTCGGTTAGAGATCTAGTCACTTCTTCGAACCGTTGATGTCGAGCAGTTAGCTGTTGCAACGTGCGCTCATTATCCTGAGTTCTTTCTACCAATTGCACCATCATTCGACGCATCTCAGATAGCTGAGCTTCCGAGTGATTCAGAGCGGGTTGACGCTGAGGGTTTTCGGGGTGTGTAACCCCCGAGTTGTTCCCACTGGAAGATCTCGGATTAGTTATTCCAGTTTGGTTCAATTGAGCGTTAGCTGGAGGCTGTTGCTCGGATCGGTGATCGGTGGATCGAGGTTCCGGATTCTGGGGATCCGGGTCTCTCCTGTTCGGTGAGCCGTCGATTTGGATCACGGGATCAGGGATGGATGGGCTCGTTGCCTGGTTGGATGGATCCATTCTCAAGTTACGGAGTGAAGGATTCAATTATCTCGTCCCCACAGAAGGCGCCAAAATGTGAGGGATAAAACTCACTTCCTGATTTTAGGTTAGGTTTAGATTGGAGAGAAGATAACGTGGGCTGAATCCCGTTAGAACTTAGAGAATGAATTATGATTGTATTGATGTTTTTGGTAAAGAGATGATTACAAAGATGATTCTGAAGATTACAAGGACTTATGAGAATGTTTTGTGAACTAAGATACGTGTAAATGGTAGAATAAATGAATCAAGAGAGAAACCCTTTTTTCTTCATCTTGCTTCTCTTTAAATAGCCTCAAGCCACGTTTGACTGATCCTAACCAAATTTTGAGATTTGCTCCGTGAGTTGGGGGATTCTCAACAGCCTCCTTTTGACCGGGTCCTGCGCAACCAGCCTGAACTACTCCCGTTAGCTCTTTGCAAATGAGGTCCGGAGCTCTCTTCCGTGACCTGTTTTGCTGACGTCCCTTCCTTAGTAAACAGCCTCCGACTTCTTTTTAACTCTTTTCTCAAAAGATTAATTGCCAATGGGCTTACAGTGGCCCATTGTCAACTCTTATCGCTCGAGCTCATTAGTCTCAGCTAGCAGACCATATTTGAGTCCAACATCAACGAAATACATATAACTCAGCTAACAAATATTTGACTTCGTATCTATGTGAACGGAGTATGATGACTGTATACGAGCATTCTATGATAACCTGCCCAGCCTCAACACACTATCTGGCTCTGTCCACCAGCACTACTACCTAAGAACTTCAAAATTATTATTACTATTAATTTGGAGAAACTATAAAAACTTGTTGGATTAACTATGAACACATGTGGGATCAATTTTAAACAAACCTCAAATGTTAAACGTCAACCGCAAACCAATTGCTGGAGTGATCTTTAACAATCATGGGATTAAAGGCCATATTCCTTTTGTTTTATCCAGTACCATAAACTTTGATATTCCACGGGTTTGGTTTATCATGGATGCTGCTTCTGTGGGATCTCTTCCACTCTCTGATTCATTCATCACTATCATGCCCGTTTCGAAAGACAGAAATCATTTTATTACTGTTGTAATGAAGCATTCTTCAAAGTGAGTCTGCAGTAATTTTATTGTTATTCTAAACTAACAACATGTGGTTAAGGACTGTGTAACATAGTATAAAGATAGGTTTTGATTCACAGGTAACAAAGTAGATTGGATAACTACAGAGTGTGTATGCATCAAAGTCCAACCAACTTTATTCTTCCAAATATCCAAAAGACAAATGAGTTTCCACCACCGAAAAAACATGTAATAAGTCCTGAAGCTGTACATTGCTCAAAATCTACTAACAAAAAAATGAAGCAAAATCTAGCAAACCAGAAACAATGCAAGATATGTAGATAGCTTTTATGTTGAGAGATAACCATGTGTTTGTTTATTAACAGTGGAGCCAACTAGGGCCAGAGAGAGTAAGAGATCTCTCACCAAGAACTCTTCTTCTTCGAGCCTGAGTAAAAACCCAAGTACCATTTCACAAACTTCTTCAAACCCGTCTCAAGATCAACCTCAGGTTTATAACCAATCTCTGTTTGCGCCAACGTGATATTAGCATGAGTGAACTCAACATCCCCATTCCTCGGTAAAGGCATAACCTTTCTCTTAGCTTTCATCTTCAAAAGCTTCTCCAATATCGTCACAAGCTTAGTAACAGGAACAGGAGAAGTATTCCCCAAATTGTAAATCCTAAACATGGCAGGACCTTTCTTCTTCCCACCACTACCAGTACTCTTCTCAGCAGTATCCAACGCACCTAAACAGCCTTTCACAATATCATCAATGTAAGTGAAGTCCCTAGCAACACTACCTTTATCAGGAGACTCAAACACTGTAATCGTCTTCCCTTTGAGTATATCTTTAGTGAAGAAGAAGTAGGCCATGTCTGGTCTCCCCCAAGGCCCATAAACCGTGAAGAATCTCAAACCGGTTAACGACAACCCGTATATATGGTTATAAGTATGCGCGATTCCTTCACCTGCTTTCTTCGTCGCTGCGTATAAACTCGCCGGGTGGTCCGTACGGTCCCTCTCCGAAAAGGGTACTTTCGAATTCAGACCGTAAACAGAACTAGACGAAGCCCAGACAACCGCAGGCTGAGGACTCGCAGCTTTCGAGACTTCAAGTAGATTCACGAACCCAGCGATGTTGCTGTTCACATACGACCCCGGGTTCTGCATCGCGTAACGAACACCGGCTTGAGCGGCGAGATGCATGACGTGTGTGAAGAGGACGACGTCGTAGAGCTTCCTCAGCAAAACGGCGTCGTTTATGTCTCCTTCCACGACGAAGACGCCTGATCTCTCCAAAAGCCCTTGTCTCGCTCGTTTCAGCTTCGGATCGTAGTACCGGTTGAAGTTGTCGAGACCCAGGACCCCGTCGCCGCGTTTCCGCAACGCGATCGAGACGTGTGTACCGACGAACCCGGCGGCTCCGGTGACTAGAACCGTTAAACCGCCGGGAGAGCGAGGACGAGCGGATTTACGGACTTGTTTCTCCCAGTGAGAGCCGCCGTACTTGGCGGAGGAATCGTTGAGGCTGCGGTGGCGAGAAGGAGACGGCGGAGGAGGAGATAAGACGAGGTAGAAGAGGAAGAGAGCGAGGAAGAGGGAAGCCCAGAGCGTGAGTTTCGAGAGGCGGAGGTAACGGTGGTACGGCAGAACTTTGTACTTTCCGGGAGTGGGAGGAAGATCGTCAAGGTGAGACATTTTTGCAATGTCGATTAGGGTTAGGGTTGAGGAAGTCAAAATGAGAATTTTCAGGGGAAGAAGAAAGAGTCGACCTTTTTTACTTGTAGTTAACTGATATTTATGATTTAAACAAAAGTGTATCGAACTTGTTGTAATCTTGAAGTCATGGTAATAAGAGATAAGCTGTCAGAGATAATTGGATTCATGTATCTTGATTTTATTTGAAGGTGTTTCTAGATTGTTGACATATGTATTCGTATCGCGCATTCTGTAACGATCAATCGATCAATGCATATGCATGTACCATTTTTTTTTGGTCAACTGAAGACATATGCATGTACCATTTAGTACGATATTTTGTATTTTCTTGACGGAAATAAGCGTCTAATAAATTAAAGATTGCTTTACTTTTGTTCATGATTGTTACATCTCACCTAACTAGTAATTTCAAAATTGGATGTAAGTTTCTGTTTTAAACTTTTAATAAAACAGACTAGTAAAACTTTTGGCCATTCGTTTGTTACAAAATCTTACAATACCATAAAATATTGCAACTGATATTTATAGACTTATTAGGCCATGATCGGTAAACATTATCCAATCAACATTTACTACAAAAACATTTAGTTTATATTTATAAGATGTTGATGGTCTTCAAACTTTTTATACACCAAAAGTATAATAAAATTTATATAAATGTCAAATTTCAAAAAAAAATGATAATTAATGTCTATATACGAAAATCAAATATTTTTTATTTTATAAAATAAATATATCTAAAATAAGAAATCTAAATAAGAATTTTTTTATAAATTAATATCTCTATAAATTAATAAAATTTTAAATATCAACATTATTAATTTATATAGGTTCTACTGTAATCTCAAATGGAACTTTTGAGAGAACATTTGTAGCTAGAATATATAAAAATAAAAAATTATATAATTTTTTAAATAATATAAACATTATGTTTCTAGCAAAAATAAATTTATATTTTTAAAAACGAAAGTTGAAATTAAATCTTTTATGTTTTTAAAATGAAAAATATTCACATTTAAAATATAAAATAATTTAGATAATTAAAAATATCATTCAATATTTATAATATAAAATATAAAATAATATATATTTATATAATATAAACATATCAACAAATTATAAATATAAACATATCTATATTATTAAGAAAAAAAATTATATGTCATTTATTATTTTTTATGATAATTTTATATATGAATCATTTACTACTCTACCAATAAATAGGCAATTCTCTCAAATATTTTTTTTAAAAGTTTTTGTCACGAAAAGAGTCTTCAAGGGAGAAAATTACCAAAATATTTTTATTAAGGAAGAAAAAGATTTTGTGCCCCTTGCTTTATAAATATATAAATAATAAATAATAAATAATAAATATAAAAATATAAAATGTAAAAAAATAGAAAAATTATATTTTTGAAATATATGCTTTTAGATTTGCTTGTTAATAAAAGGAGTTTTACAAGGTTAGTAAATCAAATCTTTGGAAAACTAATGTACCACACTCATCGCATGAAATAGTGTCTAAAGCCGAAAGAATGGGATATGGGAGGCTGTCGGGACGGTATAGCATAACATCTTATATATTAAAACAGAAGTCATAACATTGATTCATGTGTGATTTTTTTTTTAAATTAAAAACTTTTACTATATGTGTGATTTTTTTTTTTAAATTTTTTTTTTTCGAATTTCCTTTTTTAAAATTTTATTTTTTTGAAATTCGAAAATGCTTTTTGAAACTATTTCCCAAAATTTTATTTTCAAGTTTGTAATGTTTATTTTTTTTTTAACTTTCTAAACCCTACTCCAAAACCTCACCCTATATCTCTAAACAAAAAAATCTAAAATTAGTTAACCCTAGAGGTAGTAGAATATATTTCTCTTTCCATAAAACTTCTTTTGGTCATTTTCTATTTTTAAGAGTCTTTTTTTTTAAAATAAACTAAAAGATACTATCCTATGGAATTTTTCTACAATTTATGATAATATTACTTAATTAACTTATTTTATTCAATAATATCAAAAGTTATGTTTATATCCAAAAATAAATTACGCATTTAAGAATAAATTTTACAATTAAAATATTTCATTTTAAAAAAAAATTAATAAACATTTAAATCTAAATAATTTATCTAATTAAATAATATTCATTATTTCCAATAAAATATATTATTAATATATATTATTTCAAATGAATATATTATATATTATATACTAATTTTTATAATAAATTAAAAATTCTATACTATTATTTCTCTATCAATTAATTTATTAAAAAATAATGAGAACATATAGATTTTACAGTATATTGTTTCTATAGTATATTACTAATGTTTTATTATCAGATGTGCCAATCGAGACCTTATAGTTAACACATCAGAAACTTGATTGTTTTCTATCAAATCTTTTTTAGGGTAAAATGTATCATACTATCGTTTATAGCCAAATCATTATTAGGTCAAATTCAAATGATTGTAGTTTACTTTTGTTTGATTAGAATATCAAAATCAAGATTGACTTGTGACTTGTTCCCCTATGTGTTAGTGATTTTCATTGTAGTTGTTGGTGTTATTTTCGGAAGATTTTTTTAAATAATTTTTTGTCAATTGATTTTTATTGTTCCCTTTTTACTTTTGGTATTATCATTTATTTTCATTCATTTTGACTATAGGTTAAAAATTAGGTAGAATTTTATATTAAAAATTTCAGACAGTGATTATTTAATACATATAAATAGGATTAGAAAGAGAAGATCACCTTTGGAGGAGAAACTGTTTTCTCCCCGGATCAAAAGAGCGACAAGATGTTGAGAAGGATTTAACTCCACTCTCTTCAATTCCTTGATTTCTTTATTCTATTTCCTCCAAGTATAGAGATGTTTCATCTATTGTTCCTTTTGGGTGTATATCACGGTCTTGATCTCGCTTGTTGAATCATTTATTTTTGTGAAGGATGTCTGAATCTTTTGCGATGCTCAATTTCAAAGAGTGTCAAGGTGTTTTGATCAATGATTCGTGGAAGAGGAGATGTTCACCGCCGCAGTTCTTTTAACGGCAATCACAACGCCAATTGTGTTGCTTCCAAAATCAAATGGTGTTCCTCCTCTTAACTTCATTTCTTTAGAAACAACCACCATGGAAACACCATGGTGTATTGGGAGATTGAAGATGATAAATCTCAATTTTGGTTTCAGCATAGAGAATCAATATATTGGATTCTTATACGATCAAGAGATCGAAGTCAAAATTGGGATTTGGATATGGTGATGCAACTGCAAAGGAATGTCGACAAAATAGAATCATTGATGAACCCATGGAAACTGCTATGGAGGAGACAATGGTTCGGAACTGAAGTTTCAGTTCGTTTGTTGTATGGCAATGTTCGTATAATTGTTGAAAATTGGTAATTCTGATTTTTATTGCTTTCCCTAAAATTAATATATTGGATTAATTTTCGAAAGATATGTGTAGTCCAAAATTGGGAATTGGTCAAATATTATACAATAAGAGGAATTAGAATTTATAATGATTGTGATACGATATAAGGTTTGGAATTTCATTTTATAAATGATAGCTAAATACGAAAATCATATGAGAATGAAAGTGAATATGCAGAAGAAATCTGATAAAATTCTCTGATGCTGTTGTTATTTCTTATTAATCATGTTTTTGATGTTTTATTTGTATTTTCTATTATAATATTTACATTATATGAAGAAATAAAGTTAGTTGTTAAAAAAAAGAAACAGAATTAGAAAGACCCCTAATAAATAATTTTCTCATGACATACTGGGTAACTAATTTGTATCGCTACTTTTCTACGCAAATTTTGAATGAGGTTTAAGTTCTTCTTGCTAAAAAAGTTCTTCTTCTTCTTCTTCTTTTTTTGTCATCTGATGTTATATTGATTTCAAACTAGAAGAGCCAAAGGCAAGTTACAAAGACTGTCGTAATGAAACAACACCATAATCTAGAGCCGGCGGTTTAAAAACACAACCCTGGAGCCATAAGCCGACGATTGCACACTTACATTCCCGGAGACAAAATCAGACAAGAACACCCTTCCTTAAACTAATAAGCAAGGACTACAAATACATAGCTAATGACATAACCGACCAAAGCCTAAACAAACTAGAAAGAAATCAAACCTAGCCATAGATAAAACAAACCGGACCAATAAGTTATGGATAACTGTTTCTGTAGATTGTGTCTCATAAGCACCTCTGCTCCATTGACCCTCTCCAAAACCAACTAAACTCGTCATTGGACTTGGACAAGGTTACTCTGCACTTTCAACACAAAAGTGCTCCATGGACTCACTTCAGATCCAACTAAGACTCGCCATTGACCTCAGAAGGAGCTCATCCGTGCTGTAAACGCGCCGTCAACACCACGGCGGAGCCAACCAAACCTTACTTGACACGCTCTTACTCAAACAAGCCGGTAACCATAAATCCATCTCCACAAACCATAGATCTGATGAGATCGACAACCATGGGATCCGATTTAAAGCTTTCTGCTTCAATATGAAGAATCAAAGCTTTTGACCAGATCTGATATCCTCTAAACTAATAAACAAGACTTAAGCATAATTGAAACAAGACAGAAAAAGTATCCACCTTCTCACGGTACCAATGGCAGGAGGCCATCTACCGGAGAAGATGGAAAGGTGGTGACTTTCTTTTTTTTTTCCCTGCTCTTGTGTTTTTGTTTTACCGTACTTTTTTATTCCTTATTTATTTATTTATTCTTCCTGTGCCTCCACTGATTGGCATATATTACGTGTTGCATAGTCCTTTCTTATTCAGTTTTCAAAATATTTAATACTGGTCAAATACTCAGAGCACATGCAACGGTTAGAAAAATCAGTCCTTAGCCTCAAATCCTAGGTAATTAGGATTAAAAGAAAATGTTTAATTGCTAATTTATGAAGGACCGTAACGTAGCTAAGGGGTTCGAAGGACTCAATCCTTAGGGCACGTGGCAGAGCGTGGTAGGTTGGAGCTCGAGTTGTGTTTTTCGGGTTTGAAAAAAAATTCATTTTCTTTCTTTCGCAAAAAACAACCTCTCACTCTCGCGAGTCGGCGATATCATCGGCGATTTTGTGCTCTC